TATATATATATATATATATATATATATATATATATATATATATATATATATATATATATATATATATATATATATATATATATAGCTTAACAATAAATCAAATTGTAAAGCTTTTATCAATTAGAATAAATCAAGTTGTAATACTTGAATAACCCAATGAACAATGTGTGCTTGGGTCTCTGTGTATGTGGATACATGTGTTAATTTACTTCCTAGCACAACTGACACAGGGCATAATGTTTTATTTGCCTTTAGTGCTGTGTTTATTTATGCTGTCTGCGTTTCAGTACAGGCTAACCTTTGGCCGTCCTCTTGCTGAACATTACAGGTGAAAAATGCTGTCATCTTGGATGATGATTCCAGCTCTGTATTTCTTAGCATCTTCTGCCAAGCCAATAGATTTTCATAGTGTCTCAGTGTGTTCTCAGGCAAGCTCCAGACTTCCCCAGCCTTTTGGCCTACTTTTTTTTTTCCTTATGAGTGCTTATATTTATTCTCATCTCTAGCTTTATCAATTGTGCACCTATATGTACTAAATACCAAGAAAAGAAATGTGGTCCTTGAAATAGGATCTTCAAATTCGCTTTTTTTAGGTTGGAGCTTTCAGCTTTTGTTTTTTTTAACTCTTATTCTGTTGGGATAAATTTAGGGTTTAATTCTGTGTAAAGGAGTGCTGCTTAGCTCTGCACTTTTCAGCTCACAGTGGCTCACCAAGGCTGTCTTTAGTTTGCAGAGGCTTTTCTCTGTCAGACAGTGAGGGACTGCTGCCTCCATGTTTGATCACCGGCTTGGATCAGCCAACAGATGGAACTGGAGCACACAACCAATCAGTACAGAATTCACCAGACTAGTTCATAGTTTTGCCTTATATCATTCATTTCCTTTCCCTTTCTTTTTCCATACCTCTTCCTTACACTTCCAAACACTGCTTGTTTATCTATACAATGCTTATGGTTGATAATTAATATTTATCTATTACTTATATTGTCTGTAGTGGGGTCCCTGGAGGTCTAGTGGTTAGGCCACAGCGCGCTCACCACTGTGGCCCAGGTTCAATTCCCAGCCAGGGAACCAACCCCAGCCACTGGGATTGTGTACAACAGTGTGCTCACAATGCCGGTCCCAAGCCTGGATAAAATTGGGGAGGATTGTGTCAGGAAGGGCATCCGGCGTAAAAACTGTGCCAAATCAAATACACGGATCAATGATCTGCTATAGGGACCCCTAACAGGAGCAGCTGAAAGAGGAACAACAACTTATATTGTCTGTAGTCTTTTCAATGTGCTCATGCTAACAAGCACATTTGTGACAGAATGGAAGGAAAATATGATAAAAGCAAAGTTAGTTATTTAATGTGCAAAAGACCCTACACCAAGTAAATAGACCCTACACCCAGTCTGATCTGGCTTAATGTTTTCGGCATTATTAAATCATTTTAAATGTTATGCTTTTGTGTCCATTTCACATATACACAACCTAATTTTTGAAACTGAAAACAGTTGAGGGTTGTGACGTGGCATGAACTTCCCTTACAACATGACTACGTAAGGGCATTACACCATTCTTTTTATCAGCGGTAATCAGATAAACACTGTAAGGGTTCAGCAAAATGGTGGAATGTTATCTAGATTTTTCATACACCAAGGCAAATTAGTCATTTCCTGTCTAGTAAATCCACATAGGCATGGAGAGAATACTTTTGAATTTTAATGTTTTTACAGGTTTCTTGAATTAAGCAAACCTAACAAGTGTGAAAAGCCCTGTAGTGACTTTGACAACATCCTCTCTTAGTAGGAAGGATGGCATTACTTCCCACCATATCAGTAAGAGTGACACTAACCAATCATGGATGTCTGGAGGCTCATGTTCAGTATACGGAGGAGCTCGATGTTCAGTTGTCCTATGACATTGTATTAGCAACAGCTCAGAAAGATGGTGATGGAGCTTCACATGTCTCAAAGGAAGCATGTGTTAGTCCTTGCAGTCCCTGAATGGTGGCTGTCATGTGATAGTGGAGAACAAGCTGGGAGTGGGAATTGACCAAGTTAGGGGTGGAAAATGGGTGGAAAAATATGTTGCTGTTTTTTTGTATTACACAATTCCATGTAAAGCAAAGGCAAGGCTGTTTCTGAATATTTAGTCATTCTAACTTTATTTTTTATTTTACTGAGCTGACTGGAAACATTTGCCTATAAATTGTTCATGTTTACCTATGTTAGTGATGAACAGAAATACTTTTTTTAAGTATATTTTTTATTTTTAAGTATATTTTGATGGCTTTGACTAATGCTAATTGACTAATTGCTGAAAATGTGACAATGCTAACTGTGGCTTGGATACAGATAGACAACTCCTGTCTCACCATGACACGTGTGCTAGTTTACTATCTATCTACTGAATAGCTATCTGTACAGTAGCAGCAAGCAACATCAGTAAATGAGCAATGTCAGTCAGCTGTGCTAGAAATTAATTTATCAATCATATGTCAGCAATTCCCAGATATTGGTAAACAGTCTCCACTCAGTCTGAGGTTGATCTATACATGTTTGGATTACCCCAATCTGGCCTCCTGACTTCTTGTAACAGTTTAGTAAGTCATAGGAAATAGTGTAAGCTAACTAAGTAAGTGTGGGTGGGGGAATAAGGTGGCATGGAATTAGGATAGCAGGAAGATGTTATCAACTGTGACCATTAATCACAACTCTGAGAAGTCTATCACTTCCATACAATTCATGGAGACTTAATGATTCATATCCAGTTCATGTTTATTTGACATACTCTTGCATGTATTCCCACACCACATCTAAGCATCTGGACATGCCACTGATTTTATCAACTTCAGCCCACAAATTACAGCTCAGGATTGTAGGCTCACTGCTGCAATTACTGGTAAAAATCAGTTGCTTCTTTTGAGTGTAGCAACTTGTTAGCTTTTAAGTAATTTTATTTAGACATAACCAAAAGAAATTAGTTATATACTGCACAGATTTGCACATGAAAACTGGCATATGTTTCTTTTTGTGTGTATGCAACATTTGGAACTATGTGTGTAATATGGTAATTTTCATGCACAAAAAAGTAAATTCTGTACCACACCATTCTGTGCCACAATAAATTCTGTGCCACAACATGCTGTCACATATCTGTTGCTCCTCAGTGAACTACTACAAACTCAATATCCCAGAATCCTCAGCCAGCCTATGTGCTACAAGCCATGTCACCTGACCACTCACATGACCCCAATCTCCGTTCGCAATCCTCTGATTGCTGATCACACACACCTGTCTCCCATTCATAAACTCCCTGGAATAGCCCAGACTTTCACACACAATTTATGCAGTCTCACCCAAGCAGCCTTGCCTGTGTGACTCCAAGCATTTGATCTCTGTTACTGTTGTTCATGTTCTTTGACCCATAGCCCATTCAAGATTGACTGCCTGGTTTTCATTATGATTTTGGATTTTCTCTTGTCTGCTTGACTGCAAAGTACCAGCCTCTCTAATAAAGCTAGAGGTCAGGCTTGAGAGACTAATAATGAATTAGTCTGATAACTGACTAATTTAAAAAATATATTTTTATGACACAAAAATAATTTTAACTCACAACAGGGGTCAGTCTGTTGTAGAAATTAACGTCAAGAGACTCATATGGGGGAAATACTTATTTGAGGAAAGCATAATGAAGTCCTGAAGAGAATTCTTGAATTAAATCTAAAGGCATTTTTTGTCACATGCAGTACCCTGTCATGCTGTCTTCATTTAAGACTCTCACTTCTCCATAGCCACCCATCACTGGGATGTCTTCAAAAACATATTGAAGGGGATCGATCTGAAAACAACTTAGGGACACAAGGAAGAGTCATGTTGTGGGTAAAAACCCATTTGGTATCAGTTAGAAGATATTAATGATGGTTTCTTCTTCGGTAAAGTGGATACCACATTTACTGGAAGGTGAATTGTGGGGAAAAAAAAAGGTAAAATAAAAGAGACAAAATGTGTGGTCTGCTATGACGTCTTGTGTAAGATTAACCTATCTCGGAAAGCTGTAAGCAGTGCAAATTAGTCTTCCACAAGCTGACAAAGCACAGTTGAAATGTGCAGTTCCTTCAAAATTGCAATTCAGACAAGTTTTTTTGACACTTCCTGGCAAAAAATCTTGACATGGAAGCTGCAATTCCAGCTCATGCCACAATAAAACTATGTCACAGAATTAGGCACTTTACATATGAGAGTGAAGACAAGTTATTCAGTGATCCAAAACACATTTTACATTTACTGGGCCTTATTTATCAATCTTTTAATACAGTTGTGTGTGAATGATTGCACAAGCCAAGCTGAACTAGAATCTTCTACCGGCTTTACAAAAGTTTCTTATACTTCTTGTACTCATGTGAATGTTGATCACCTGTAAAGTGAAAAGTGTGTTCCTGTCACACTTCATTTGCATATAGTGACACCCACAAAACTCCTAAAAAAGGTCAAGTGTACAGAGGGCTGGGAACATGAAATTATTACTAAATGATGAAAGAAAAGGCAGAAGTGTGTTAAGTTACTTTGGCTCACTTCTATGCCAATAAAAATATTTAGCAGTGTAATAGCACCTGAAAAGGTCAAAATCTAGAGACAAATTACAGAAAAGGTGAATTAGTTGTGAATTAAACAAGATGAAAAGAAAATGGTGTGACATGAAAATGAAGGAGATCACAGTACCTGGGTGATCATTCACAGCAAGCAAGTCACACATCGAAACTGTTATTTTTAAATTGTTTTGTCTCAGCCCACATGCTGGATCTGAACATCCTTTCCTTCATAAGCATGGCATGCACTAAATCTTTGATCAGCTGAGGAATTTGTTTATGGTTTAAGGCTACACAGTACAGTGGCATTTCTTTTGTCATTTGAATGACTAGTTTTATTTGTGTCGTGTTGCTTTCTTTATTTTTCATATTCTTTAATTAATGCCAATAATAAAAACTACTGGGTTTCACCAATTTTTCTCGATTTTCCTAGTGTCTGATCTAGCATGAGGATGTGTTTTTATAGAGACTACATAAAGTATAGAGACTACTACTTAAAGGCATATGCTAAATGCTGTAAATGTAAATAAATAAGCTATTTAAACTTGACAGTATAATACAAATACAAAATACACACACACACACACACACACACACATATATATATATATATATATATATATATATATATATATATATATATGATTTGAAGTCGATCAAGTAAAGGTTTACATTAGTTGGTCATCTTACACGTAAATTTACACACACTCAGGAGCACGAGTAGGATACAAACAATTTTATGAAATAATGGCATTTTTGGTATGAGTACCAAATTTCTTGTGTGCTCCTATGAACGAATGCTCCTATGAATGAATTACAAATAAATCTGTTTATATCTAGCTTTTCAAATGAGACCCAGTGTCTCAGTAAAGTCAATTCAATTCAATTTTATTTGTATAGTGTTTTTAACAATGGACGTTGTCAAAAGCAGCTTTACAGAAATATATAAATTCAGGATATAATTTTAAAATTTATAAATGTAGCCCTAATAAGCAAGCCAGAGGTGACGGTGGCAAGAAAAAGCTCCCTGAGAAGATAGAGGAAGATACCTTGAGAGGAACCGGACTCAAAAGGGAACCCATCCTCATCTGGGTGACACCAGATAGTGTGATTATAAATAATTTCCCTTCTATAACTGTAAATGTGTAACCAGTGCAAGTGTGTAACCAGGAACTTACGAGCTTATGAGCAACTTATGAATATGAGCGTCAGACTTATTTCTGATTTCATTATAGTTTTAATGAAATCTATTTTGTTGAGGGTATCTACTGTTCAATGATGGAGACTTAAGTGCAAAACTGTTTGTAGCAATTGCAGTCCTAAGGCTATCCAAGGAAGAATATCCCCAGCCATATTTATGATTTCTATGTGGGGCCATCCACAGCAGCAGCGAGAGATATTCAGGTGATGAGAACGCCAACCAGAAGTAGGGCATCAGGATGTATCAGGCGGGTCCAGAGACCAAAACAGGTCAGGGTCACTGGTATCTCGGGAG